CCTACCACGACTAAGGAAAAAAGAAACTAGAAACCAAATCAACTATAATAAGATTTACTAAAAGATAATACAAAAGAAAATCGACTATTTTGTTTCTATATTTATATTGGCATTAGTTACCATAACTTTACTCAATGAAATGTAATTTTTTATATTATTTAATCGTTTCTATACATTTTACTCACCACTTCGTCTAAGAAGTCGTTACATTTCCGATAATGAGGCTTGGTTTCGCAGTACTGTCGATATAGGAGCCGTCCTATTGGTTGTTGTTCAACAACGTAATTGTATTGAACATCTGTTAAACAGATAAATTTTTATACTTTTTCATGAGATAAAAGGTTTCCCAAGATATATAAGGGAAGTACTAAAACCTTTCTTTATAGACTTTTTTTTGTCTATGGTTACCAGCATTAAGTGCAAAAAACTGAAGATTACTATCAGTAACATATATATATATATAAAATTAATATAATAATTTTGGCCAAGAAATGTAACCTATGCATTGAAACCTATTATTCCAGAAATTCTCAAAAGATTAAATATACTGCGCATATTAAATAAAGTTATTTAAACATGTACTTCTACAGAACACTTATCTTTGCTCTAGGTCAACTTTTGCATTCGACACAAGAAAAAAAAATCGTCAAATACTTAAGAACCTTTAAGATAAAATTGCAACATCCACAAAAAGTGGAACAGTGCAGTTTTGTATTTTAATCAATCAAATCAGCACCTTTAATGCACAGTTGTAAACCTTTCCGCTTTTTTTGTAATAACGGTTAAAAACAAACAAACTCACCTGGTTTCTGTATTGTCCAATAAAATTGATTTTTATTTATGGAGTTTTGAGTCCTTTTTAACTTACCATATAGTAACCTAATATTATTCACGTACCTAAATTAATTTAGGTTACTAAATGGTGTGTTAAAAAGAACCCCCATAAAAGTCCTATAATATTATATACACATCACTATAAGAAGCCTAACTGTACATCTTTTATTTGCTGACCCTTGCATAAGCAAAACTGCAGTCCACAGCAAAGGGTACGGCCAATCAAAGAATGCATCAGGCCTCTACATCACAAAGTCTATTTTCAATTTTACCTTTGGTGAAAAGAAACCTGTAATATAAACATTTTTTAGTTCCTTACAAATAATCTTTGAGATAATAACATAAACCATGTAGCTTATATATTAAGGTACGTGTACATAACCTCGTCAGGTCTCTTACAAGCCTCTAATAGTTAATATATGGAGTATCTTTGATTCTACAGAATAAAACCTTAAAACTTGTAAATAAATTTAACAAAGTTCATAAACTTGTTTCTCAAACTTAAACTATAATGCAAGTCTTCCCATCTTAACTCACGATTATGAAAGGTTAATCTGTATATTTTTCTAACGGGGTCGTTGGCCTTTGGAACAGGTTGCCTCCAGACATAGTTAACTTAAGGTAAGGTTTGATAAATATTTGAATGATAAGGACTAGATCTGAGTGTTTCATTGTCATTACAGAGTTTAGTATAATTGATAGGTAGGCTTAGATGGACCAATACATCTTAATGTCCAAGAGGGGCATCAACTCTAAGTTCAAAGTACTTTTATTTCTTGGCTCCTGTTATCTTAAATTTAATGAACCTTAATATTTGGACTACCCTTACTTTTAGATTATTTAAATTCAAGGTTTCAAATTATGTTTTCAAATATTTTTCTGCATTTGGAATAATGATTGTGTAAAACATTTTACTTTTTTGTACAGTGAATAAAGGTCCCTTGTTGTCCTTAAATTATATACATGTGTGTGTGTGTGTGTTTTTTTATATATATATAATACACATTCTTAATGTCTAGTACTATTTCAGGAAATACTTTATAGCATAATTTTTATGTTTCAAATCTATAATTCTTGTATATAATTTTGTGCAATCCTGTTTCTTTATTTCTTAAACTAATAACCAATAACATTTTTTGTTTTACTAATTTTCTCATTTTATTTGAGTTAATGGGATACAAAATTTTTACTTTCTGTTTTATGGTAATCAAAACTAGTTTTCCTGGAATGGTTTGTTTTTTAATTTCGTGCAAATTTACACGAGGGCTATCTGCACCAGCCGTCCCTAATTTAGCAGTACAAGACTAGATGGAAGGCAGCTAGTCATCACCACCCACTGCCAACTTTTGGGCTACTCTTTTACCAACGAATAGTGGGATTGACCATCACATTATAACGCTCCCATGGCTGAAAGGGCGAGCATGTTTGGTTGGGCAACTCTTTTACCAACGAATAGTGGGATTGACCATCACATTATAACACTCCCACGGCTGAAAGGGCGAGCATGTTTGGTGGGACAGTTTGTTTGTTTTTTGGATTTCGTACAAAGCTACACGATGGCTATCTGCGCTAGCCATCCCTAATTTAGCAGTGTAAGACTAGAGAGAAGGCAGCTAGTCATCACCACCCTCTGCCAACTCTTGGGCTACTCTATTACCAACGAATAGTGGGATTAACCGTCACATCATAATGCTCCCACGGCTGAAAGGGCAAGCATGTTTGGTGGGACGGGGATTCGAACCCGCGACTCTCAGATTGCGAGTCGAGCGCCCTACCCACCTGGCCATGCCGGGCCTACTTGAAATGTTTTATTTATTTACAATATTACATTTAATATCCAATATAACTGTTGGATTTGACTGTCACTCTTATAGCACACCAATATCCCTCTGGTGTGAAAATCGCTTTTGCAGCAACGAGACATGAAGTATGATTCACAGTCTAGGTACTAGGGCACACCTGGCTATACATTTTTAATTCTTCATTCTGAAAACCGTACCTTAGTTTTGATTTTAAATCCTCAAAAATTCTTATAATTAAAGTATAAAATTGCTTTATGCATTCTGCAAGAACATTATAGTCTTCTGCCTCCAAGAAACACGCAGATATATTTTAAATTCCTATTATTAATAATTATGAAGAACAAAAAGATCTTGTACACTAACCAAAAGTAAAAACCAAAGTACAAAATATGCACAACTTTCTAAATTGTAATATTTTTTTGAGTTTCTTGACCTAATTTTTTCGAGAAACAAGTTATTTTCCTTACTTACTGGAAAAATTAAAGATACAAAATAATAATAATATAATAAACAATAAAACAACTTCTGCATGTTGACTGTTAAAACAAAACTGTTTTGAGAAACGTGAAACTTTTGATTAAAAAATCTATCGCGCTATAAAAAACCGAGAATAATTCAATAATCATTGAATGTACATATTTTTTTTTATATAATTAGATTTTTAGAATATGAACCAAGTTTATTCTGTTTGACTTCATCCATTACTTTTATTTTTAAATTAATTTACAGCGCCCTCTACTCCCGGAACTGTTTATCTCTGTTATGACAAGGTAAAGCTGATAGTGACAAGTATATCGCTGTTAGACAAAATTATCAAACCAATGTGTGCTCAACAAAAGGTTTAAAAATACACATTATAATAGTGGTGTGTAGGAAGGAGTTTAAAATGGAGTTGCTTGGCTAGACATGCAAATTTTACAACGAGAGATTGAAAGTATAAGGAGTTGGTAAAAGCAGCTCAATCTTAGCGGGTCTGGGGGCATGCCCCCCCCCAAGAATTTAATATAACTTACAGTTGCTATACAAGTCAAATATTTTATATAACTGTCAACACACTCAAGATGTAGCAAGGTCAAATATTCCATGTTAACTACCAATTCAACAACAACAAAAAAGGTAAATGTAGATGATAAATTTGGAATTAGTGGTCTTTCCACTAGTGCTAAACATCTTGTTTTTGTTTGAGATACACAGACTTTCTTCGACTAGAAACTCGTACTTTGATAATCCAGATGTTAGAATTTTAAAATTATTAGTAGATAAATTCCGGTTATTTCTCGTCGTTCCATTCTTATTAAAAAAGTCCTTTTAATCAACTATTAAAAGTACACAATACTTTAAAATTATCAGGGAGGATACCAGCATTGAAAAAAAAAATCATACTGATATTTATATCTTACTATTTTATATAATGCAAACACATTGACCAATCATTTGACATAAACAGTGCTGCCACCTATTATCTCTCTTGAAGAAAATAATTCACAGAAATGAATTTCTACAACTTCTGGACCCCCTTTCTCTATTTATAATTACACTTGAATTGTTGCAAAGATACGAAATCGCTCGGGTTTCAGGGTTTCGTATCTTTGTGTTAAATTGATTTCTTGAACCTACGCGTTTCTTAAATATTTCTAGTGATTCCATTATATTAAGTTCGTATTTGTTATTAGCATATTTAACCAATCAACACCATGGAAACTAACATTGTTCTGTTGAAGCTAATTTGTAATAATTTTGTTGTTAAAAAAATCAGAATGTTATAAAAGAATTTTACCCACAAATAAAAAGAACAGTTGGTTTTCAGATCTTGTTTCCGAATTCACTAGATATAATCTACTTTATCGACGTTCGCGGGTTGTTTACAGATACCCTTTGACGACTGTAAAGTCGTCCTTCCATATCGGTAAAACAAAACGCCAATAAAAAAAAACAAAATACGTGCCTATGAACATACGGGAATTTCAAGTAGAACCGTCCAACTACTCTCGTGTCAATGCGTTTCCTCCATAGCCGCACACACACACACACACACACACACTGCGATATTAGAAAACGCTATTTACCTATTGATAATTTCTGGTTGCTACAATATATACAAATTTTCTAGTATATTTGTTTTATATACTTAACATTACGTTTACTAATTCCTTTTTTCGGGGTATATATATATGTTTGTTTGGTTTTCAAACGAGACCCGAAACACGAGCGCTTTCGAATAGTTCCCTATTGTCCTGAAGAAGAACGGTCAACTAATCGAAATTGCTCGAGTTTTGAGTCTCGTCTGAAAACCATTACAACTTTTGTGTGTGTGTGATCCTGTGTGCTAACTTCCTAATCAGAATTTATCCGTTTGCCTGTCAGCACAAAGCTGCACAATGGGCTACCAGTGCCGTGCTCGCCAAGGGTATCGAGACCCGATTTTTACCGCTGAACTGGACTTTATATTTTATCCGAACCTAATATTCTGTCAATAGGTCGTTCACGGAGCTATTGTCAGTTTTAGTGTACCTTCCCATAAAGTACGTTTTCTTGTCACCACGTTCTACCCACGACGACATCTTATTTATTAAGTCGTGATTTTTTTTCTGTTTACAGTAGAAATAACACTTCCTACACGTTATTGCCAGGAAATCCGCAGGGATGCTGAATACACAATGAG